ATAGGGTAAAATAAAAAATTGAAATCCGATTATTATTTGCATAATAAATCAAACCGCTAAACAATTCAAGTATCTTTCTCTTCATACATCTTTCTTTTCGATTCTATCTACCACCAAAAAAAAGAATGTCATCAACATTTCACAATTTGATTCCATTATTTTTTTCAATTTTTTTTTGCCATTGTTATTCAATTGACAAAAAAAAAATCGATTGTCTTTTAGCAACCGAACAAAACAATCAAATAAACAGAATGATGATTGTTTGAAAAAAATGAAATGAAATTGAATTGAATTGAATTGAATTGAATTGAATCTGATCAAATTTTACCAATAAAAAATAAGTAATACGGAAAAACAAAATTACTTTAACATTTTTTTAATGGACATAGAAATCAAGTTGATGTGTGTAAAACAACAGGAATTATAAACAACAACAACAACAAATGTTGACAGCCAAAAATTTGGATTTTGTTTTTCAATGATATAATTTCCATCTTTCAATACTTTCCATTGTTTTCCCTTGTTTTCTTCATCGATCATCATCATTTAACTCTTATATAGCTAGACACAAAAAACGTTGGTTTACAAATAATTTATTTTATTGATTTAAAAACAAGCAGAGAAAAATAAAAACAACAACAATCATAATGATCACAATTTTAAAAATGATGTTACTGGCCCTTTTATATGTGCGCAGTTTGTCTTAAATACGACCTTGACCAAGTTAATGTATGAAACCCATTCATGGTCAAAAATTTTTGTCCATTCCTGCCCCCTCCAATGGCGCAAGCCGTTGTGCAGGACGTCGATATTTTCGTTTGTCCAATTCGACCTCATACGTTCTCACGATTCCTCGTTTATCTGGTATTGTATTCGTGACCGTAGCGATTTTCCATAAACTAACGGGAAGATGATCATCAATCATTAACACTTTATCTCCGACTGCCATATGTTGATATGTGTGGCCGTTCCGATAGAATGACCGCAGTCCCTTTAGATAGATATCCCGATAGATACGCCAAGCGGCGTTGATATGCTTTTGTGTTCCTCGCCAGTATGACAACAGTGGCTCCACGGGTAAACCACGTTTCGGTGGCACCAACGGCCCCTTTGGATTATAACCAAATCGTAGATGATTTGGTGTCAATATCGTATCTTTATCATGAATTAACGGACGTCCATTCATGATCGCTTGTATTCGATATAATGCACGTCTAATGTCATTTCGATCCAATTTCCGTTGCCAATTGATACAATAAAAACCTTTCTTCATGGTCTTGATCAATGATTCGAAAAAACCTCCACGAAATGGAGATGCAGGCGTATTGAAATGCCATTTAAATTCGTAATTCAATTTGTGCAATGCACTTTTCAATAATTGACTAAATTTCTTTAGATTTGGACCATTATCAGAAAATATAGTCATCGGTATTCGATTTAGATCAGAGAAAACCATAAAGGCATTACAAATACTTTGTGCGGTAGCATCTTCCAATAATTCAAAATGTACCGATCTCGTAGTAGCACATGTAAATATCATACCAATAGCTTTCGGTTCCGTTTTCAGTTCGAACAAATCAACACCAATATGTTCAAACGGCTGACTACGATTCAATCTTTCTGGCGGTGGACATCCTAAGAACACGTCCAACGGTTTTGCTTGTAAAGCACGACATTT